CTATCGTATCCTGTGCTGGATAAAGACTTAATCGCAAGTGTTTCAAAATGGCAACTTCTCAACTTAGAACTCCTCAACTACAGGAGTGCCCTGCTACTAATAGAGGGAAGTATACTCATGATCCCTGTAAGCGATAGGGCGTGAGACAGGGCGTGGCTTGAAGCCCAGCCGGCTCAGATTTTCCGTCAGCTGAATGGGGCTCAAAATGGCATCAACGGTGGAACAAGGGCTGCAGTGAATCCACACCGTGCCACATGCCGTATCCTTTGCACGGATTATGACTGTATTTAGTTGTAGTTACATAGATTGATAATAAAGAAGAGAAGTGGGGAAGCCGAGATCAGTTCGAGAACGGTAGCTTGGAAAAACAAAGGAAATGGATTCCAATGGCGAGGTGCAAATGCTTTCGAGAAGAGGTACTAGATACGTCTAGTGTTGGAAAAAGTGGAGTATTGAGAAAGAAATGGCGATGAGATCCAAGAAGAAAACATGGAGAAGGAATACTCCAGGGGAAAGAAAAAAAGGACCGAAAGAAAGAAAGTCAGACCAACAAAAAGCTCAGAAAGCCGACAAAATAAGTGTAAAGTCTGCCAAGCTTTAGGGTGAGGGAACGAGCAGGTGAAAAAACAGTTGAAGCAATTAATCTCCCTGACAGGAAAAGTTCATGTTATTTTAGTCCTCTTCAAGTGCCAAAGTTTCAACACACCGCGCTTCGACCACGATTTTTAACTTCAACATGGGCTGTAAAGTTAACAGCCCTTGAAAAGAGACAGATTTATAGATAGAGTTTTAATGAAGATAGTGCATACACTCCTTATCCCTAGGAAGGGGTAGGAGTGGCATCTGCAGATGGCATAGGGCGGGATACTCGTGGGATATTTCGCATCAGACAACTAGCATCTTGTTCTGTGCTGGACAACAACATGATTACAATCGCCCCAAAATGAAAATATCTCACGAAAAGCTCAGCCGCCGCAAAGTTCAGTTGGGGTACGCAGCCACACCTAGCGCATCTCAAGGATTTCGGGTGTAATAATGTGACAGTTTTAAGTCTGAGCGCTCTACAAACGTCATTCTAGCATGCAAGAGATCAGAGTCACAGGCGGGACCATGAGTTCATGGTCCCAATAGTCTATCCGCAGCTTTAAGCCGCGACCTCGAAACCCACAGTCTCTCGCTTATTAGCTACAGTCATGATACCTGCAAACGATAGGACGTGCGGTGCAGCGTGTATTGAAGGGGTCCTTTTCTCGCCAATAACGCCATCATCCTGAGACCGCTACGACCGGTGGAAAACCTGATATGGCAACGCTAAAAGTCATAACCCCCTTCGGTTTGCAGGGATCATGACTGTGGTATCAGAAACGAAATTAACGGAGTTATATCTAACTGTAAGATCCCACTTTCATCCTTTCAGCCGACTCAACCAATCGATGTCAAATTGAAGACTGTTAATTAAAGAATATTTTTAAACTTACCGACTGCACCACTCGACATGCACATCTCCGAGTAGCAGTTGTTAATGAATGGCTGCGTCGAGAGGTGGTCATTACTCGGCAACAGTGATTGAACCATGACCTGAAATCACTTGCAATCATCAAGGAACAACACCTGGGATGAACAGACGCATAAATCAGCTCTGAACAACATCAACATTCGATTCAAAGTATCGCCTAAGAGTACTAGACCAGTACGAGTAGTCTACTTACGAAATAACTACTGAAAACATAAATATGAGTGAAATTTCTAAGAACAGATTGTGAAACGGGCGTGAACATGGAATAAGAGGCAGTTTCAGAGGCATAGCCCACGGTGACCACGTGGGCGGAGACACCCAATTACGCTGTCATCCTTATTGGCCACGCGAATCCATCCAGAAAAGGGCGCTAATGGGGCAAGCGCGATGGTGTCACTGCCAATGCGATCAGCGAAAATCGTGCTTACAATGTATCGAATGTTGCTTACTAAAGTTTACCGACCAGAAACTATACCAGTGAGTTGTTGTGTTCAAACTGCTGTTCATTACAGATCGCGATGAAAATGTTTCAGAGGATAATTCGTCCGAAGCCAATTCTCGCGATAAAGTGTAACAGATACCAAGTGCTCAGTCCCAAAACAGTAGCTCATAGGTAGAGAACGAAGCGAAAAAAATAAATAACACCTCGAGCACAGAACCACCCCCCTCCCCTCCCCATAGCAGTGGGGTCGTCGACTTGGACGAGTTTGTCATGAGGACAAGCTCAATCAGCAGGATTCTAGGTGCAACCAGTTACCGGCAAGAGCATAGAAATCGCCCTACGACGCTCCAGGCAACGCTATGTACACACACAATTCCGCTTGTAAGCCGTTATCTTGCACAGTTACAGTACGCGGTTGCACCGGTTGCAAAACTCACGTGTCTTTAGCTACGGTATTTAGCCATT